CCAACAACACCGTCTAAAGACTTAAGGCAATGGTGCACATTCAATGAAATTAATTGATTGAAGGTAATCAGTTTTACTGGAAACAAGAATTGTTCAGTCAAACAGAAAATCATGTTCATCTTTTACCTTTTCATGGTTGACTTTCTGAGCAAATCTTTTCTATGCAAATATCAATCACTTTTTTCCGTCTCATGTTAATTCATTTCTTATCTCCACGAGAAAATCATAAACCAAAAGACTTTCAAGAAAAGTAGAAAAGAATGAAATTATTGATTGAAATTCATTAGATGAATCGAAAGTGAAACAACAATGATAAAGAATGTTCATGATTTCTTCTAATTTCATGGTTAAAATACTTTTACCAGGATAATTGTAAAACCATTAATACTTTTGGACTCAGTTTCTGTTCAATCCTTTTTCTTCTTCTTCGCTTCACTCGATTCTGTAAATCTTTTTTCCTCAACTGTCCTATTCTCATTCATGGGATTCATTGAGTCAATGAACAATTTACTTTTGAAAAATAAAAACTCAACAAAATTGGAAGCTTCAAGAAACATTATTGGATGAAAAATTGCAATCAAATAAAAATTTCATGTAGAAAAGGTTCGAATGAATTGGTCTGATGGGAGAAAGAAATTAGTAAATGAAGAAAAAATTAAACTACAATTAAATGAACAATTAAAAGAATTGACTTTGTTAATCTTTGAATCCTTTTCTTTGCATCTTTGATCTTTCACGAGCTTCTCCTCAGCAACTCTTATCCTTTTCATTTGAAACTTTCAGTGATTTAACTCATTGCTAATTCCATTTAACATTGAATTTCTTCTAAAAAAAGTTAAATCATTAGGTTTTTCAAGGTAATCGAAGTGAACAGTTTTGAACCAAAATTAGTTGAAATCATTTATAAGAGCCAATTAAAATAGTCGCATTCAAAATGAGTTACAAGTCTTTAGACTGAAAAATCGTGAAAAGGTCAATAACTTTTTATTCGAGAAGTAGATAAAGTTCAAACGAAATCACCGGAAAACTCGACGAAGTCATTCGAATTAAAAAGTTGCTCTAATTTTTCGAAGAACTTTTTTGTCTCTTTTTCACAATTTTCTTGTTCTACTTGTTCTTAGATTGGACTATTGTGGAATCGTTTTGCTGATTGCTGGCTCGTTGCTGCCGTATGTTTATTATGGCTTTTACTGTGAAAATATGCCTAAACTTGCCTATCTAGTCTTAATTGGTACTCTTTGCATATTGACTTTGACTGTGAGCCTATCTGATCAGTTTGGAACTTCTGAAGCTGCACCTTTCAGGGCAAAGATATTCACTTCATTTGGCATGACAGTGCTCTTCCCTTCGATCCATGTCATTGTTAATGGATCAGTTATAACCGATGCTATACTCTGGGAAGGTTTCCTCAACATTTGCTCAACTGGAGCCATTTACTTTACAGGAGCCTTAGTCTATGCTCTCAAAGTACCTGAACGATTCTTTCCCGGTAAATGTGACCTTTGGTTCCATTCCCATCAACTGTTTCACATTCTGGTTGTTTGTGCAGCTGTAACCAACTACCAAGGTCTATCCGATATGGCCTGGTATCGAGCAAGTCGACCCATTTGCTCAGCTGATCTCTACGGTTCCCAAATATTGTTTTAACTTTTGTTAAACTCAAACAATTAACATTAAAATTTTTCAATAATTTACTTTTTATTGAACAAAAATTTATTCAACTTGTAAGTATAAAACCGACTCGAGACTCGTTGGTTCATGTTCATTGAACATTTCACTTCAATTTATTAGAAAGTTATCTTTAATATTATTGATATATCAACTCTTATAGCTCTGATAATTTGAATGAACAAGAGTAACAAATGCAAGCGAGAAAAAAAAGGTCAACAGCGAAAAAGGCTGTTTTCAAAATTTAATCGACAGTCGAGTAGATGATCTATCATTAAAAGTTGATCTACTTTGTGACCTGCTTATCCAATGGCCACTTGGTCCACTTGACAATCTCGAGACGTCCCTTAACGCAACAACCTCACACTGTTTATCAAACCTACCATGAACTTGGGACTTTGTTGAGCTACTCGTTTCATCATGGCAAGTATCCGAGGTAATCAGGTAACTTGGAGTATTGAAGAGTATTTGACGAAAGGCATTCTTAAAGTCTTGATTACAAAAAGCGTAAATCAAGGGATTGAGGGAAGAGTTGAGGTAACCCAACCATTGGATTCCCGTCTTTACTTCATAAGGTGTTTGACAAGAGTCACAGTAGGCTTCAATGAGATAATAGATGAAGAAGGGAAGCCAGCAAGCACAAAAGACGCCCATGATGATGCCAAGGGTTCGAATGGCTTTCGTTTCAACCAGCAATTGTTTGGTTTTCCTTTTCAATCGTTTACCCGAATCCAGTAAATCACCTGAATCACGGCTTCCACTTGTCGAAGTGTAAGTTGAACCCATGGATGAACTTTCCTTTAATGTATACTCGACTTGCTTTATCTGGCGTGATTGTTCCTCAGCAATTATTAATATTCTCATGTAAACGTAAAACATAACAATCAGTGGTACATAAAATGAAATGCTTGAAGACACAATGGCATAGACACGGTTTACCTGTTCAATCAAACAAACAAATATAAATATTTATAAACTTGGAAGAAAAAAGTAAATTCCATCAAAATTTAATGTTCACTTTCTAAATGTAATTTACTCTCTAATGTGTAACCAAACTTTTACCGGTAAAAATTGATGAAAAATCATTTCTCATTTGAAACTTTTTATCCAAATTTCATGAAACAAGAGAAAAGAAAAGTAAACTTTGAAAATAAATTCACTTTGCAAGATTAATGTAACAAGATGTGAAATGCATGAAAAGAGATTTGATAGTTTTGACAAAACTAATTTAAAAATTTGGCGACGAAAACATGAAAGTTGAACAAATTCTAAATTCAGTTTACTTGTGAACTCGACTTTTAATCAGAAAAACTAATTACTTTTCCTTTCAATTGATTGAATCATTTTTTTCATGTTCGATTTAATGACAGACTTTATCTCTTCTAATAGACATTACTATTATTATCGTGAAAGAACCTGAATCATTATTGATGGTCATTGAAAGAAAGCTAAGATTATGACAGAGCCGATAATTCAGATGGAATTCAATTTATCATGTTTGACGAGCAATTGTTATAATATGTATATAAGAGAAAAGATGGAAAATGAAAGATTTTTTGTCTTCTCGTCTCTTTGAAAGGTCATCATGATATTGGATAAACTATTGATAATTGAGTTGGTTCATCATTAGAAACGTTGAGAGGAAAGAGTTGCTCGAAATGATGATGATGTTGATAATGAAGTAAATGAATCGTGTTCACCTTAAGTTCACAGTCAGGAAGATGGTCAAATGTTAAGATGTTGTCAATGCTTCCAGCATGATACCAACCACTGAATATTGGAACAAATGAAATGGTTATGCTGCTCACCCAGATAACCATTATATTACAATAAAGATTTCGTCTGTTCACTGAAGTCTTATAACGAAGAGGATTAGTTATGGCACAATATCTGAAACGAAAAGAAGAATTTGTAAAAATTATTTTTTCTCTACATTTATCAAGGAATTTTGATTTCCCATTTCAATTGTTAACCATTTCAATGAAACAATAAAGTTTCCGTTTTAAAATTTTCTCTCTCGAATCTCAATTATTTTCGGTGAAAATGAACGGAAAATAAAATTCAACTTATGATTGAAATGCTTTAAATTAAAACATTGTTTCTATTAAAAGCATTCAATGAACAATTGGAACAAATGGTTGAATGAAAAATTTTCATTTTACTATTAGTCGACTTTCGAAAAGACTGATTCCTTGTAAAACGGAAAATGTTCATCATCTGATTATCTCTGAATGACAAGTTTCCATGCAACATTTTCATTTGAAAAGTTGAGATTAAATGAAGTTTCATGTTTTCCATTATTGATGTTGATACAGAATTTCATCTTTTAATTCCTTAACAGGTAATTTCTCGTTAGATTTACACTTTTTATCATTCATCTAAAAAGTTTCATCAAAACATTTCCGCCAACTTTTTCTTAACCTTTTCTCCATTTCTAATAACTTGAGATAAACTTTCAAATATCAATCTGATCTGACTCTTGGTGTAATGAAAAAAGCATTCCAAGAGAGACGAAGATGGAAAAAGGAAAAAAATGAGAACAAAAATGAAAACAAAAATCGATATAATATTTGAATCAATGTTTTTCTTCAATGATTCTGAACAAATGGTTCCTTCGAGATATCTTGATATTCATACAGGAAGAGACTTTTTTTCTTGGCAAAAGTAAAACGTAAAATAGTTGAGAATCCAAGTAAAGATCTGTATTGATGAGACAATCATCATTAACTAGTTATCATTATTGCAATCATCACCATTATTCGAGTTATTCATGAACTTCTTGACATCAATTTGAAAGAATATTCGTCAATATATAATTCCCAGTTACTCTTGACTCCCTGTTATCACTCCCAAGCCTTTTGCAATAATTTGAAAATCATTTCCATTTCTTTATCTTTGTCGATTCTCTTTACACTTCATTGAACTTTTCACTCTATCTTAAGGGAAAGAGGATTAGGCAAGTGATCATGAGCACTTATCACATCGTGAACAGAATATTTAACCCACAAAAACCTATGTTCAACTAACCTTTTAGAAGCACTTGATTCATAGTTGGTGAACAATTTTTACCAATCAAATCACCAATGAATTTACTTATGCAACTTGATCATAACTGTATCTTTACGCTAAATTTAACCAATGCAAGGAATTCAAAGTTTGATTGAAAGTTTGCTTCGAGTTGCATTTGGTTTTCGTGAAAGTTAATCAAGTGAGAAATGTACAAAAATTAACTGAATACACAAACATGAGAACTTAATAAAGTATAATCATTGGCATGAATTATTCCAAGCTAGTGTTATTGAATGGAAAACAATTGATCATTTTGAGGGAAGAAAAGATTTCTTAATGTTGTGCCCAAATGCATGAATAAGGATGAAAATAAACGATGCCAGTGACAACGTCATATATCAAAGACATTAAGAAATCTCTTGCAACATGAAGCCTACTTGATGCACTTACATGTAAATCTTTCACAATTGCAGAACGGAATATCATTTTATATTAAATATGGAATGCTGTGATGAATTTTCTCAAACACTTTTCTAATGGAAATTTGAGCTAAAATGAATCAATTTTGTAAATTCATTTCTCAGCATTTGCATTAATATTAACAGCAATATTATGCATTTTGATTGCCGTCAATTCGGTTACCAAAGTCACTCTCAATGTTTCTGTAAATGCTAATCTAACGATGTTGCTATTTATAACTCGATGCACTTTATTGATGACAGTTTATTGCATTCGAAGCATTTGTAGAACTTTGATTTTCTAAATCATTTTGAGTCGTTCATTTGAACTTATGAAATGCTTTTGGATATTTTGTAAAGAAACAAACTCTTTTATTGTTCTGAAGATTTATAATGGTTTGTCCTGATATCTTCTTTAATTGAAGAGTTGACATTATTAGGTCTGAGCTAACATGGCTCAGAAATGATTGATTACATTTTGCTCTTAAATGAAAGACCATTCGAGTTTGCGAAACTTGTTTTGGTTAAAGTTCAAGTAAATCGAATGCTCTTGGAATTTGAAATTAAACTTTTTTAATCTGAGTCGGGCTGTTGTTAGAACATCTTTTCTCTGACATTTATTCTTGAAATATCAGCACGAAGGAGAGAAACGGTTATGGATGACATGATGTTATTAATCGATAAGAAACAATAACTCAACTTCACCAGGAAAACAAAGCAAACAAATCTGGTTATGTCAAATGAGTTATAGATGAATGCAAGCCTGTATTTATCATCAATTCATTACATTCTGTGCAGTTAATGAACTGTATCCAGAACATAATTTGATAACATTTGTAATGATTAATAATTACAGTAAAAATTGTCTTCAAGTTATGATTGAATTGTTTTCCTCCCAAGTTGAAAGTTTTTCGTAAATGAACTTGCAGTTACTGAAATAACTTCAATAAGCTTCAACATTAGCTTTAATAACAGTTCTAATTGCATTTCAGGTTAGCAAAGTCTTTCGCTTTGGCAACTTAAACAACTTAAAAACCCTTTTTTCGAATCACAGAAGCAAAATACAATTCTTTAGTTGTTCCATTTGCAAAATTAGCCCAAACTGACATTCAGATGATAGAAAACAAAAGACAAAACAAGCTTTATTGATAGCTTTGTTGTGTAACTACTGGTTCCAAAGCTTCTTCTAACACAATTTGAGTTACCGTAGCTTCCTAGAAGCTAGAACACAATTATGGCTCAACCGGGTTGAGTAATTCACTGAATTCAACAGGGTTGAATCTAAGAACTTGAACAAGATAGTCACAAGTCTTCCAAACAGTAATAGTCCAAGACTATTCACAAGTACAAATTAATCACGAGTAATACCGAGTATTACTAAGGGTTTCACCAACCTAGTTGGTAACTGAGTATTCCAAGAATACTAAACAGGATAGATTCCGAGAATCTATTACTAATGAAGGACACACGTTAATATCTGATTACAAAGGTTTAATCTATTAAAGGTCACTTAATTAAGAATACAAAAATGAATCTATTTATACTGAAATTAAAGGAAATCATAGAAATAGGAAATTAAGCAAAAAATACAAAAGAAAGGAAATACCGAGTATTTCCAGAGCAACAGCTCAACACTAGCAACCCGGTTGCTAGTAACAGTAACTTTAGAGCGCGAACATTAAATCACTCAACAGCTTTTAAAGACATTAACAAAAACTGATCAATTGTCATCAAGAATTGATGAATTGTTGAGATCGATGTAAATTTAACTGAATATCGCATAGCAAGAGAAGCTCCGCAAGTCAGCCGAACCGATTATCAAATTGTGAAGTGATATTCAAACCTTATTTTAGATCGTTTAGCACGTCGTCTTGTATTTGCTTGCTTTGCTCGTTTAGTTAAGTTTGCTTTCAAGACCATTAATTGATGAGCTTTGTTTGTGAAGGATAATATTTACGAGCATTGTACGTTATTTGATTAGAACGAGCATTTTCTTGTCAATGGAAAGGATTTCTGATGAAAGTTGAACCCGGTTCAACAACACAAAATAATAACTTCCGAGAAGTTAACAAAACAAAAGTATTCCTAGAATACAAACAAGTATATCCAATATACAAAATGGAACAGTTTATCACAAGAGTTTATCACAATAAGGTATTCCTAGAATACAGATGAAAGTTACTCAGTAACTGAACCAAGAAGATCTGCAAGATCTTGAAGTGATGTGTGTTCCGGGAACACAAAGACGAAAAGTATTCCAAGAATACAAAACTATGCAAAATTAACAATTTGCAAAAGCACCAAATTAAACAAAATTAACAAAATTCCAAAAGAAATTAACTAAAGATGAAGTGATCAGAACGTTGTTCCGGGAACAAGTGATTTCCACTTCCACAGTTGCGAGGGAAACAAGTGTCAAGGTTACCGAGTAACCATTGCATTGACCAAATGTTACCTCCAAATTCAAAATGCAACAATTAATTTACCCATTTACCCAAAATCGAAAATAAATTAATTTAAACAGAAAAAGCATAATTAATTCAACCCCAATAATTCCATCAATTCGTCATCTTCCTCCTCATTCCTGGAATGAGTGTTACTATGATATGGCCGAAGTCGAGAAATATGAACAATTTCTTTCTTGACAGGTCCTTTCAAATTGATTAATTCATAGTTAACTGGGTTGATTTTCCTAATTATCTTGTAAGGTCCCTTAAATCTATCGATGAATTTCTTATTCTTTCCTTTCACCAATAAGGGTTGCTTCAACAGAACCAAAGCATGCAAATCAAATTCGACTTCTTTATGCGATCGATCATAAAACTCTTTAGACTTTTTCTGAGAATCCACAATGTACAATTGAGCCAATTCTCGAGCTTTATTCAATGCATCTTCTCGAGTAGCGATTTGATTCCACTCAACGGGCAATCCAATTTTTGATTCCCATGGAAGCCTGGCTTCCACACCGTGTACCAAGTAAAACGGCGAATATTTTGTTACCCTATGAGGCGTAACGTTGTAAGCGAAAACAACTTCTTTGAGAAACTTATCCCATTCACTCGGATTATTTCCACTGTAGATGCATAATGTTGTTCCCAAATACGAATTGAATCTTTCAGTTTGTCCATCACTTTGTGGATGATAGGCTGATGTAGGCAAATGTTTGATTCCGAAACTTTTCAGAAAAGTCTCAAATTCCTCGGACATCAAATTTGTCCCTCGATCAGTCAACAGAGTTCCGGGAACTCCAAATCTGAGTATCCAATCATCAAATAATACTCCAATTATTTGATCACTTTCAGTTGATTTCACTGCTGAAGCTACTGCAAACTTTGTCAATCTATCATTGATAACAACAGCATACTTGAAACCATTATTTGAAACAGGCAATTCCATGATATCCAAACTAATATCACGAAGCAC